AGTGACACTGCGGTCTCTGTGCTGGGAGCGTGCTGAGCGGCATGCTCCCAGCACAAAGACAGGTACGCAAATATGCAGCCCCACAGAAAAAAGCCCAGCTCCGTGAGGCCACATATTTGTGTGACGTCGGCGTCAAGGGGTTAATGACCACTATTTATGACATGCTGTGAAAATGAGCATAATGGGCATGGGGCATACATGGGTGATACATACTTAGCAGAACTTATCAAAAAGTCAATAGGTACCATAATAACTGTTTAAATTGTTCTTGTCAATAACTGGAATCCCAGCCACAATGCTACCTGCATGGAGTTTGCATGTTCTCCCTGTGCCTGCATGGGTTTCCTCTGAGTGCTCCAACTACCTCCCACACTCCAAAGACATGCTGGGTGGTTATAATGGTTGTAAACCTTTATATATACCCAGTGAAGTGACTGACCTCAGGTGATACATATAGATGAAACAAATTATCTCCACATACGTTGTATCTGTGTATTTTCAGTATTCTCATTCAAAGTGCTGAATTTATAAAGCTTGTCTGAGGGTTAAAAAAAAAAGGGGCAGAGGGCAGACACTACTCTGCAGAACTCAGTGAGGAAAGCTTTGAGATCTGATTTAAGAAACGAGATACACACCCTCTCCACAGGAACAGAGCTGACGCTGTCAATCTGTTGGAGGTCCCTCCTGTGTCACCATTTTTCTCTTGGTATTAGGTAAACTTGACAGAAATGATTCATGCTGATAGCAAAGGAACGAAGCAGCAGATAGAAATGACACTTAGTGCTCCTAACTGAGACATGCGCACACTATAGAGGGATATGCTTTGTTCATATTTCATGTCTGAGGTTTACAACCATTTTAATTTTGACTTGATTAAATTTGCCTTAGTACTGTATGTGTAGGTATGTATGAGTTAGGAACCTTAGGGCAGGGACTGATTTGAATGTGCAATATATATGCAAAGCGCTGTGTCATATTGATGACGCTACATACAGTAAGTACCTGGAATAAATAAATAAATAAAATTGGTGCAAGCATAGACCATCACAATTGTTTCCCAATCATTAGTTATCTACTTTGATATTTAGACTATTCTTGATGAGTAGCAGGGGCACATCAGCATGTGTATAATGCTTTCAAACAACTTTTCTGCTGTCTACCATGCAACATTGACCAACAGATCCAGGCTGGACCAACCTCATTGAGAAGAATACATCATCACTGTGAATGGCTACATTTCTTACAGATAAGGCCAGCCCAATCTGCCAGTGTATGGGAAGTTTGTGACTTGAGTTGCACTTTTTCCAGCAATGTAATTTTTGTTTTCTGTGATGAAGGAGAAAAAGAAACAAATAAAGAAGCACTCCTAACCCTGTGGAAGTCAATAGAGTCACAAGCCCAGGAACAGTTAAAACTGAAATTCACTTTAATGTTGGGTTAAAAAGAATGACATGTATGAGTGCCCAGATTGATACATCACCAAGCCAGGGAGAAGAGAAACACATATTCCCAGAAGCTGAAGGATGACACATGATCCTGGACCCAACGGTAGGTTGCTTAGCCCAGGAACCTCAGGACAGTTGGAAAGGTGTGTGGATGGCAGCCACTGGGATCACTAAGATACGCGTCCACCGGAAGTTACGTGTCCCAGATCCGAGTTGTTATGTCATTCACCTGGCGAGAGACAGCCTGAACAAGGGCTGGTGAGGGCAAACAGGAAGCCTAGGGGAGCATTTGAACCATGTCGAACCAAAGAAGAGAAGCCAGTCATCATGATAACATGTTTCAGGGACTTGCCACTTCCTCAGATCATCAGATTGCTGGTTTAATGATCACCTAGGTTTCCAGTTTGCCCTCACCATCCCTTGTTCGGGCGATCTCACGCCAGGTGCATGACATAACAACCGGATCTGGGACATATAACTTCCGGTGGACGCGCCATCTTAGTGATCCCACACCCTTCTCACTGTCTTGAGGCTCCTGGACTGAGCAACCTACTGGATCTTTATTTGTTGTTTTGTGCTCATGTCTCATTGCCGGCAGATGAGTTGTTGGAGCTGTCTATACTGTGGTTATCTACATATCTCCTGGAACCTATTTGCACATTTTGTGATGAAGGAGAGGCTCTTTCTTCACTGAAGAAGCATTGTCACCCTAAAGCAGGAAGTATACTACTGGCAGGATGATCCGAAAAGAAACAAAGGAAAAAAGCCTGAAAATAGAGAAATCTGATGCAGGCACCACATTTAGGCATTAGTAGTGGCCAAAACATCAGTGGCAGAATTTTTTATCGATCACCTGCAGTCTGAAGACCATAGTCTTTGGCAGCCCATAGATGAGTCATTTTTTACTAGCTTGCCCCATCCAAATACTTGCTGTGGATGGGGAATCTTCCCCGCAGAGCTACATTGATCAGCACTGCAAAGCTGACTGAGCGGGAAAAACCCAACAGTGTGTGGTTGCACAGAAAACAGTCGATAGATTGAGTTCTGTACAACCAAAGTGCCCATACATGGATTATAATTTGTCTGGTCCCTGCTGAACTGGCTTACTTTTGATCCATGTATGGCTTGGTTTAAAGGGTACCTGTGCCCCTTTACATTACATGGCTCACATTATAGAGAGTCAAGGGAGGTGAAAGCGAAAGGCCCAGAGAAAATGACTGCAGAACCTTGAAGGACCACTGTTCAGGAATCCCAAGGCTATCCAAAGCACAGTAGTGATATGCAGGTAATTAGAGGTGATACAATACAAGGTAATTATCAGTTTATTTTTGGGCAAACATTTCATTAAAAAAATATCCATATGCACAATAAAACGAATTGTGGAACAATTGCTCTGGGTGTGCAGCAGAAATGCACATTTAGAAAGGTTTGGAAATTTTTTTTGTTTATTTATACACTTGGGAGACAAAGTGAATAGCTGTGTTAGATTTTCTTGACCAATTGCTATTGTTTTCCATCACAATAAGCCCCTCCTCAGGTGTTCCAACGTACTTCCTCTAATTGGTCCAGTATTAATGTGTATGTACTGTGATTTTAGCAAGCAGATCACAAATGCACGGTTGGCTGCTATCTACCTAACTTTTACTACTATTCACAGATGTTGTCATATCCATGGACATGAGACTGGCCTTTTTTGGCTTGATTTGAGGATGATCTTTGGGCAACGCACTACTGTGAAACCGTGAAACCAAATTAGATGGATTACAGAATCTTGTCGAATTCAATGTCATGCATGTGGCTCCTGTTCCTTGCTCCATTGTCCTGAACAGGAGTGCCTATTTATCTGAGTAGATGACTCCAGAGACATCAAGGAATGGTCACAACACATGTGCACATCCAACCATTCTCTAATATCTCTGGTCAGCTTACAGTGTATGTCAATTTAAGACTTTTGTCTTAGTTTTCGACAGAGTGGGTAAGGGTTAGTACCCCATCAGGGTTTTACTGCTATCTGTTCAAGAAATTTACCCTAACTTCTTGTTCTTCTGACACAGTTTTACCAAATAGGAAGTGAAGGTAACTTTCTAACAATAACAACAACTACAGAAATAAAAATACATTTTTTAATAAAGCAGGGGAAGGCTAGAACCCCTGTCAGATTTGCATTTCTTTTTTTAATCAATAACATTTTTATTGAATATTTCATGAAAACAAAATAATATTATATAGATAACAATAGATCATTTATATAAACTGATTATAAGAATAGTTTGTAATATGCAAATAGTAACACGTTAACAGACACTATGGGTATGGCTTATAAGGCTGCATTAGTATTACGGTATATTAGACCCTGTTTACCACGTTGAGGGCTCACACTGTAATCAGGGCATAATATTAAGTGTAGACAATAATAACTGTGGTAGATATGTAGATGGAAACCTAAATAGAGAGGAGAGAGAGGAAAGAAAGTGAAAGGGATCATTCTAAATAGTCCAAGTAATAATATCTCATTAACCCCTTCCCCTCCACCCTATACAGTACAGAAAGTGATGAAATCTTCTCCCTCTGGGCACATTCCGTCCCAGAGAGAGAAGAAAGGAGACATATGTGAGTAAAACAGCACAGTTACACAGTTAGAACACTTTTAGGACACATTTAACCCCTTGATCACTCCCCCCCCAGTTAACCCCTACACTGTCCTGTCACCAGTGTCATTAGTACAGTGTACAGATTTTTTTGCAGATCACTGTATTAGTGTCACCAATGACTTCAGATAGCATTAGCACAGTTATCGTCAGTTAACGTCCTTTCCAGATAGCATCAGATTGCCCGTCACTACATCAGTCGTCACATTTAACCCCTTGATGCCAGGAACACGCTCACATACACAAAATAACCTCCATTGCTAGTATAGTGTCTGAACAGATCAATATCTTTGATCAGATCAGCACTATATCAGCATTCACATTAGTATAGTGTCCCCAAAAATGCAACTTTAGCAAGATCAGCCCCTGGGACCTGCCAGCACCTGCGTTTAGCCCCTACGCTTACTCCTCCCTCTCCCCCAGAAAGTGCAGTGTCAGTATATCACTGTCGCTTGATATATTGCACACAAAACCGCAGTTTCACAAAATAATGCCTGATCTCTGTTAGCACTTGCAGGTGCATTTTTTTGTAGCGGTTCAAGCAGTGTCTGACAACCAGGTGCTCTTTTGCCCATGAGTCAAACTAGGTACCTATAAATTTAGTGGCCAAAATGTCCAACGAAAGGTAGTGAAGAGGCCTACAGGATTCTGAGCATGTCAGATGAGAGCGAAGGGGAAGCCTCACTGACAGAATCTGCCTCAGAATTTGAACCTGTAGACAGCAGCGGCACCCTGACAGATAGCTCAGATGATGGAGGATGGAGAAAAGGTCCCTGCTAAGGTCAGGCGTACCTGACCCCATTCCCAGGTTGCTGAGATGTTACAATCACATGATGATTCTCATATGCAGAAGAGTGCCAGTATTGGTGCCGCTCTACCTTTTGGTGAACTGCCAAGCACCAGCGGCCTAGTACTTCCTGGTCTTATACATACCAGCACTGCAGTATCACTTGGTGACGTGGCGAGTCCCATAAGTGCAGTACAAGCTGGTGTGGTGGCAAGCACAAGTAGTGTCACACAGCCACTAAGAATTTGCACGCCGACCCATAGAGCCCATAGTGTCCTTCCGGATGTGCTTGCAAATCCCAATTGACAGCCCACAAATTCTGCACGATCCATACTTCCCCCAATCACTGCCCAACCCGGAATTCAGGTGGAAACAGCAAATTTAACTATTCCCCTTGATTTTTTGGCGCTGTTTTTCACGGAAGATCTGTATGCATTCACGGCGCTATATAGGTACCTGAAATAAATAAAAAAAGTTTAAAAAAAACAATTTATATGCACAACAGTTGATTGCCGCCAACCCAAATTCAAACCTTGCCAGACCATTTGCATGGAAACCTATTACGATTTCTGAATTTAAAGGTTTTTTGGGCCTAACCCTCAACATGGGCATAACTAGAAAAAAATGAATTGTGGTTCTATTGGTCCACAGAACCAATTCATCATATGCCCCTGTTCTCTGCTGTAATGGTCAGGCATAGAAATGAAAATATAATGCATATTATGCATTTCAACAACAATACACCCTGTCTTCCTTGGGGTGACCCTGAATTTGACCGGCTTCACAAAATTCGGCCCCACATAAATAACCTTAACCAAAAATTTGCAGATATCTAAACTCCCCAGCAAAACATTTGTGTTGATATGTCCTTTATTAGTTTTTCTGGGCGCATTCAAACAATTTTTCCCCAGCAAGCGTGCCAGATATGGGGTCAAGATGTAAAAGACCTGTGAGAAGTTTCAGATTTATGATGGTAAAGATAGTCATGTGAAGCCCCCTGGATGCCCAGACTACATGGGGAGCAGAGGAAAGATAGTTTGGGACTTGGTTTCACCCTTTTTCCATATGGGGTACCTCTTTTTATGTGGACACTTTTTATCCAAGCGTGCCACTATTTAGACATTTGTACAATCTTGTGGTACCGTGTGATCTAATCGCCAGGGCTTCTCCCAACGGCTTGTAAATACATGTCTTGGAAAGGGGTAAAAAGCCCACTTAAAAAATGACAAATTGCTCGCAGTGAAGTGGAAGGACAAATGGGATGTTTTCGTCCTGTCTTCCATTCACGCAGACACCATCCAAATTGCCACGGCAGATGGTGTTGAGAAGCCCCTCTACGGCTATAACCTTAACATGGGAGGGGTGGACTTCAACGACCAGATGGGGAAGCCTTACTTAGTTTCCCGAAAAGCAAGACACTGGTACAAAAAAGTGTCTGTTTATTTATTTCAATTGGCTCTATATAACGTTTTTGTGTTTTAAAAAGCAACTGGACATAGTGGATCCTTCCTAAAACTCCAGGAAGAGATTATCACGGCCCTTTTGTATCCAGAAGATGATATGGCTCCAACCCCCCAACCCAGATGCAGTTAGCTCCATGAGAGGCATTTTCTCGATTCCATTCCTAGTACCCCAACCCAAAGGACACCCCAAAAAAGATGTTGTGACTGTAGCATGGAATTAGGCATGACACTTGCTTTTTTTGTGCCTCCTGTCGTGGCCAACCTGGTCTCTGCCTCAAGGACTGCTTCCGTCACTACCACACACTAGTGGAGTATTAGAATAGGGTACAGCACTGCACAGTTCAGGGCACATATTTGCACAGGGTCTCGAAAAATGTTAGGTAGTCAGGAAACTGGCTATCGCATTTTGAGAGACCTTATAATCTGGTTAAAGTTAAAGTTGAAAAAAAATTTATGTACAGCATTGCACGACCGCGCATAACAAATACATATAAGTACATAAAAAAAAATAAAGTACAAAAATTTTTTTTTTACTTTTAAAAACCAAACATGGTTGTAGTTTTTCTTGTTGTTGTCGAGTTACTGTTCTACAGTTATTATTTTACTGTTTTATTCTTGAACCACTGCTGTTTTCTTTTCAGGAATACCATTCAGCTGCAGCACTGACCTGTCTATTCTGACAGCAACAGGGTCCAGAATATACATAAGTAAGTGTGTGCAGCGCTGTTCATCCGCAGTTAAAAAAGAGCATATATGCCCAAGCATGGGGGCCTGGGGTGGTCAGTGGGTGGATGGCCCCCATGCTTCAGTATATATTTTGGCAATGATTTCTTCATCCACATCGACCGATGTGAATAGATGAATAAACGACAAAAAAAATTAACATTTCGTGTGTGCCCACCATTAGAAGTGGGTGAATTCAGGACAGTATATTCTAATGGTGGGCATACCACATACATTTTCTGACAGGTGGTGCTGTGGTTTGGATGTGAAACAACAACCCTAGTACTGCCAGGTGGAAGTGCTAGCCATTTAGCCACTGTGCTGCCTGAGATATTCATTTTCTTTTATGTCTGTCCTTAGTTGTAAGATATTACCATATCTCTGCAGAGATTTCTACATTTTTGTCAGGATTGAGCTCTCTAAAATGGGCATGCTTATTGATTTTGAAAATTATTTTGTTTTGAACTTGTACCAGTAAATAATTATAGTAATGAAATCCCTGTGATATCCAATCACCTACTGAGAGAGGCATTTTCCATAGTTCTTAAAGAAATAGATACATTAGTTACATTACTCACCCCTTTAGTTTTAGGTAGAATATGTTTCCAAGCTATTAGGGTGGATCTTATAGTTAAAAATCAGATTTGTATTTCTGTCTAGGTCCCTGTTATGGATTTTCCCTCTTTTTCTATCTTGTAAAACCATTGTCAGTTGGACAGGAAGGGAAAATCTCTCCCACGAAACCCCAAATAGAAGTAAGAACCTAACGGGTATTTTCCTTCCCCATCTAGCTAATACAAAAATGGTTTGATATATGCAGTACTTTGAGGGCCTGTTCATATCAGGTGTGAAGGGCTGTGCTGAGCAGCCTTGCCCAATACAGCCCTAATACATAGACAAGAAGATTGCCTAATGCCCCATTGTTTAGTTCACACCATTATGCTGTAGGACATGTATTCCTGTTTTGCAACACAGTGTGTCACAATACACTATACTGCAATGCAACAGGCTCAGGGAATAAACATGAATAGAATGTAATTTTGTGATTTTCCCATAAAGTTGAAAAAAGTAAACAGTGGGCTGCTCTGTATAGAGCTCATCTGCATTATGTGCTCCAGGGCATATACCAGTGGTCATGTTAGGATGCAACTGCCTGTGTGAATAAGTCTGTATAGGCAAAGCTGACAGTCACATTATACATAAACACAACATGAATACAGATATGTGGAGTTGATAGCCAATTACTGATATCTAGAGAAGCCAATGAAGAGGGTGTTCCATCATCCATGTAAACATGTCATCACATTCAGCTGACATAAAGCCATCAGTAACCTCCAGGCATACTGGGATTGAGGCATTGTTATTTCATTCATATTCCCTTTTACCCCAATTAACTGATCCCTTTCTCTGAACACAGAGCATAAACAGATTCTCACTTCGGGTAGCTCCAGCTGTGAGGTTATACATCCATAACCAATGTAAACAAGATACTAATCTGCTGATAGGGATGGCTGCTCCAGCCACTGGTGCCCCGTGGGGCCCTCTGGTTCCAGATGTGTAACCTTGTAATACAAATATGGATATTATGCTGTGCTCTTTATAGAGCAAATACAGAAAGGATGTGTTTTGATTTCCCTAACCATTTTGTGACTCTTTAACCTTTTTCCCAACAGAGCACTGTATGAAAATATCTTAAAGTCATTGTACCTAAAACATGAGTAAATCATTAAGTATTATACCCCTTCTAAGCTTTGCATACTCACCTTTCCTGTACCCCCATTTCCCTCCCCACTCTATTTAGTCAATGGGAGTGAAGAGAAGAAGCCCGGAGTGACTGAAGACCAGCCATTCTTAATAAGGTTCTTCCAGAGGGATTCCTTGAGCTGTGGTTGAATGGCCTCCCATTTGATGGTGCCTAACAGTTCCATGTTCAACCAAGTAAAGGAACAAAGCTGAGTTGTAGAACGGCAAGCCTGTGGAGAACATCACCGGAGTTAGTCTAAGTATAGCAATAAGAACCACTTTTTTACTCCTGCAAGGCAATTAATGTTGATATTTTTAGCCTTTAGACAACTGTACATTCACATTTGTGAATTGGGGGAATGTGTGCCAAATCGCATACATTCCCACAATGCATGAAAAACGCACATCCCTTTTGTTGGTGTGCAGTGGTGCCATTAATTATTAATGTCACCCCAAAACACCTTGCTAACCCACACATTTTTGTGTGCACCAAAATGCATGGTAACAAAGTACGGTGCATTTTGGCTCAGAGTATTTTTTAAAAATGGTCCTGAACTTTTTTTGTGGGATTTTTTGTGTGTAAGGCAGCCTACTGAAATGAATGTGCTGCCCTAAAGATGACATGTGAAATTGCATAAAAACTCACATGCATCATCACACCTGAATAGGTTTTTCTATTCTATGATTATGAGAAAGAACAGTAATAGCTGCAGAGCTGGATCCAGAGTATATCCACGTTGTTTTACTATTACTGAGTCTCTGTGACATTTATAAAAATGAGCCAAGATAAAATCTCTGCTATCTCTGTACTTTATATATTTTTATCCAAAGGCATTTTTGTAGGTTTTATTGAAAACATTTTTTAACAAAGGTCACATATCAGTACAATGAATAGCATAGTACATAAATTGCCAGTAACAAAAACATAAAGGTATAGCAGGATGCAGAACATCAGGGTTTCAGACTATTTAACAGCTTCCCAACCACCATCTGAGCAAACCTCCTCGGGGAGTCGCTAGGCCCTGATCAATATTCAGGCTGGCTATTTTAATTCTCCCACTCTGAGCTTCAGAAACTTCTTCTAGAGGTGGGGAAAAGCAAATAAACTCCCAGCCTGTGAAACCCTAAACAGACCAGACCAGTCACAGCTCCCTTCTTGATTGCAGAAGGAGCCATTATGGGATTCAGTTTATGTTAAAGATTATATATTGGCTGTAAGTAGTTACTTTACAGTGTTATTTGCAACAGCTATAACAACATTGGCACATATTTATATTTACTGGATTACAATGTATTGTTTGGTATGGAACTTTATACCTATATCTATGTCATTTTACACATTTTTTAGTGTTTTATTATGTACATGTATTTCCACATTTACTGTGTGTCACTTGGTCTCAACAGTGGGTGTCCCTATATAGGAAGCCCATTTTGTATTGGGCTTTGGAGCTTCACTGCCAGGTCAGTACACCATACGGACCTGACAGCAGGGGATTTAATACACAATGCAGTGGCTGCAGCCATCAGCATTGTGTATAAAACTGATACGCAGACTCCTGCCTGTCAGGTGAAAGTAGTCAGTCAGCTCCACTGCCGTGTATTGCTTCCATAGCCTCCGGTGATGGTGCCCCGTCCCCACGGTTTGCACTCCTTCCATGTTTCTGGGCTCCACATGTCCATCTGCAGGCCCGGGGAGAGCC